AAAGTGAACTCAAAAAGCCATTCAACTTAAATTATAAAATAAATCCATTTAATAAACAAGACAGACCAAAAATGGAATAAAAAATCCCATATATTCATTAAACAACCAGTCTTGCTCAAAGCAGGGATGTGTGTTAATTAACAAATATGCCCCGTCGTCTCCTGCGATTCCACCACGAAACAAACAACATCCACCTTGCTCAAACAGAGATAAGGATCTGAGAGAGAATGATCTCAAATAAACGTAAATATTGCATCAGACATGGCGAGCCGCTCTCTTTTAAAGGGGCGCGAATGGGGAAATGAAAAGGGCCGGATTTGCTTTGCATCACAAAAGGATAGGCAAATAGAAAGCCCGGAGGCTGAGGACTGCTCCAGGACGCCCCCTATAACTGCTGATGACAGAATTAAGAGTAAAAGCACACAGAGAGAGAGAAAAAAAACAGGCCAGACTTACTGTACCTACATTCAATACGCCAATGTTGTTTGCTCTTCACACTTGCGCACATATTAGACATCCGTTTGTTTGTAATGTGCTAAAACTGACAGGATTTCATTGTGCGTGATTTGTTAGATTGCTGCGAATGATGAAAGAACGCTGCGCTAATGTGCTGCCAACTCTTCAGCTCTGCCTGCTTTAATTTCCTGTTTGTCAGGCTTTGACAGGTACATGTTGTACCACCAACCATCCATATAAATGTAAACAAATAAAGGCTGATCACCCACACAAACACACAAATTTTACGCACACACAAATATATTTATGTCAGCAGCATCAGTATTGTTCTATAGGACAGAAAAAAAAACAAGTTAGATGCCTTTAATAACTGGAAATGGAGATATTTGCTTGAGCTCAAAAATGCATAATATTGTAAACAATCCATCTGTGCATGTGTGTGTGTAATTTAATGTTTAGTTTTTTTTTTGTTTTGTTTTTTACAGTATTTTAAATGCCATTATGGGACTTTTCTCCACTCTAGAGAAGTGTCTGGCTTACAAACAAAGTTTAAAATGACATTGGAATCAATGTTTTTATCAATTTGGACTGCTTTTGTATAACATTGACTGATCATAGACCTCAGGGTTTTGATCTGAACTTAACTTCCTTTTAAACAAACATTATTTGTGACAAATTTGTCATCATTACAGTAAATTAAATATGGAAATTAAAAATATTCATCATAATAGTGTGGTTTTGATGTTTATTTAGTAAAAACAAATGGCAAAGAGTGGCATTTAATGTGCTCACGGTCAAAAATAACCTACAAAAATAAACACAATTATATATTATTCTACAGCATAATTGTTAATTACTGTTAGAGCTGCACAATTAATTGAAAAAAGATTGCGATCTCGATTCGACCCCCTAGACCATGGGTGTCCAAACTACGGCCCGCGGGCCATCTGCGGCCCGCAACCAGTTTTGTGGCAGCCCGCGAGGCATTTTAAAATATCAATAGAATCTGGCCCGCTATACAAAAATTAACGTAATTCAATAAATAACCACCGGGTGTCGTTATCACATGCATTCAATTAAGCAGCAGTTCTTGTTATGATCTATCTATCTATCTATCTATCTATCTATCTATCTATCTATCTATCTATCTATCTATCTATCCATCCATCCATCCATCCATCCATCCATCCATCCATCCATCCATCCATCCATCCATCCATCTATCTATCTATCTATCTATCTCTCTATCTATCTATCCATCCATCCATCCATCCATCCATCCATCCATCCATCCATCCATCCATCTATCTATCTATCTATCTATCTATCTATCTATCTATCTATCTATCTATCTATCTATCTATCTATCTAGCTATCTATCTATTTATCTACACACAGTTAAAGTCAGAATTATTAGCCCCTCTTTGATTTATTTCTTCTTTTTTAAATATTTCCCAAATTATGTTTAACAGAGCAAGGACATTTTCACAGTATGTCTGATAATATTTTTTATAAATAGAGATAAAATAAAAGCAGTTTTTAATTCTTTATGAACCATTTTAAGGTCAAAATTATTAGCCCCTTAAGTCTTCAGAACAAACCATTGTTATAAAATAACTTGCCTAATTACCTTAACTTGACTAGTTAACCTAATTAACCTAGTTAAGCCTTTAAATGTCACTTTAAGCTGTATAGACTGCATATTATATAAAACTAATATGTTTAAAAATGTGTGGGAAAAAAATCTCTCCGTTAAACAGAAACTGGGGTAAAAATAAACAGGGGGGCTAATATTTTAGGGGGGCTAACAATTCTGACTATATATATAAATATCTATCTATCTATGTATCCATATATATATATATATATATATATATATATATATATATATATATATATATATATATACATATACATATATATATCTATCTATGTATCCATATATATATATATATATATATATATATATATATATATATATATATATATATATGTGTGTGTCTGTGTGATGTATGTCAAATTTGGCCTGGGACAATGTTTTTTTTTTGCATCTGGCCCTCGGCCCAAAAAGTTTGGACACCCCTGCCCTAGACGATCTTAACCCAGCATTTCTACGATTCTGCCAATCATATTTTCAAGTTCAGGAGAGAAGCAAAGGCAGCCGCACAAGTCTTCAAGTTGTTTTACATACGCTGTTTAGCAATGTGGACACCAATGGTGTTGAAAGAGTCACATACTGTATTCATAAGGTATAATTCACCCAAAAATTTAATTTCTGTCTTCATGTAATGATGTAAATCACACGTGACATGAGCTGACCGTGACCTGCAACCACAGAAAGGGCAGGCGCGCACAGATGAATGAAGTCTACTTCAGTGAAGTCACCTGCATAGGCTGTAAATAACAGGTAGAGTTGTAAATAATATTCATAGTTTGTTGCACAGGGCGATCATTTGGGAGCTACATGGGAAGTATGCACCGCACTTACCAGTGAAAATAAAACCGAAAGGGCGCACATCATTTAAATAAACATATCACATTATAGAGTTATAATTACGATATGCATTTGATGTGTTTGTTTTTTTTTCTTAGTGAACACAGAGTGTTGACTTTGAGAATAAATGTTTAACAGTGTCAGTATAACTACTCCAGCCTATAATGTTAAATATAATGCAAAAGGGAATTTGATAATGACAAAATGTCTGATTTTACCAGTAGAAAAAAAAAATTGGTTCAAATAATGTCGTCAATGACAGATTGTAGGCATATGTCTCAAACATAATAATTCAACATCAGACTTAAAAATAGTTCTGAGGTCATCACTTTACTGTGCATTAATGACCAGGACCAATTTAATGTCTGTTCAAGTCCACCATTCTAAGTCTATACAAAATAAATATTAAATTATTTTTAAAATAAATAATTAAATATTGTTATAGTTTTTTTGTCATATATTTGAGAAATAATAACAATAGCTGACTCATATTAACCTTTATTTTACATCTACAGAATCGTGAGAAAATCATCTTTATTTTAACCAAAAAAATATAGTGATTCTCATTTTAGCCAGAATCGTGAAGTTTTAATTACAGTATATAATATGTAACTTAACTTAAAATGATAGTTAAAAAAACTTGTAAGTTAAATTAAATATAACTATAGTGAAAGAAAAATGTCTGAAGTTATCCATTAAAATGAAGTATAACCATCAGTGTTGATTTCCTTTCCATCCGAGGACCATTAGTAATGCTCTACAAAACCTACAGTTCTGCAAAACTTCTAGAGGTCAAAATTCTTTAACTGAAACAGTCAACACTTCTTCTCATATTTCAGCTTCCACATCAAAGTTGCTGCGTATGAAGGTCAAGGTGCTCCAGGATTGGCCAGCCAAGTCACCAGATATGAACATTATTGATGATGTTTAGGGTAAGATGGAGGAGGAGGCATTGAAGATGAATCCAAAGAATCTCAATGAACTCTGGGAGTCCTGCAAGAACACTTTCTTTGCCATTCCAGATGACTTTATTAATAAGTTATTTGAGTCATTGCAGAGATGAATGAATGCAGTCCTCCAAACTCACGGGAGTCATACAAAATTCATTTTAATTCTTAAATCCATTCTTTTTCCACTGCATCATGACTTTGTATTCTATACTGTACATTATTTCTGTTAAGTGACAAAACTTTTTATCTAAGCAAAGTCAGACCTTACTGTCCTAATTAAATAATTAAAAATCAAGACATATTCATATTTTATTTTGGTAAAATAAGAGTAATGTAGAGGCATTTGCCTTTCATATAAGCCACTTCTGATACCAAATGATCTACTAAAAGTTACTTATTTTTTGTTCCTAAAACTTGAATAGGCAACAAGATGTTGGTCAGTGTATATCTTTTTAACACTTTCAGCTAGTTTTAGTAATTTGTAGTATTTTAGGACCTCTCAAAGGACATTTACATTCTGAACTGCTACAGTACAATCCAAAGTAATAAAAATCAAATTAAACAAAATATTCAACACACTGGTCTATAAAACTGCTATAAAACACACAACAAAAAAACAATTGCCAACCCTTTGCCTGCAGTTTGTCCCCACATTCATTATCTTTTCATGAAACAATTCAGTTTACTTAACCCGCATCTGAGACAGGCAAAAAAAAAAAAAAAAAAAAAAAGCATGCCTTATAGCACCTTTTACGGATGTGTCATCTGAAACGAGCAACAAAACATACCCGGAGCAACATATTTCAGGTTTTACAAACATCGACAAAATGCCATATTTTCCAGCTCCTACCTTTCATGGCAATTTGATTTTCTGTGCTCAGTTTATCCACAACACCAACGATGGAACTCCAACATGTCTAATCTAAATCTCCAAAACCTTTAACCATCTGAGCAACAGTATATTGATGTGTTTACAAGTCAGCATTGAAGAGGAAATATCAGAGATGGTTTATTTTTGAATATCCTGCATTAATTCATTTAAACCATTCAAAGAAGAACATTTGGATATATTCTGGGTTTTACAGTACATGCAGACTTACCTGTGTTGCAGGCTGTTTGTCATTGTTTTTGGGGGACTTGTGGACACTGCTCTGCTGTTGTTGCTGGAGAAGGATCTGCCGTGCAACTTGTAAGGCCTGAGTGAGAGAAGAAAAAAAATGGTGTAAGAAAAGAAAAGTTAAAACTACAGTTTTGATGATGTTTTGTTTTGTGTCCGGGGACTGAGTCTCCCTTGAGGACAGCCCCACTGCTTTCTGATGTCAAAGATATTTTTTAAATGATGCGATGATGGTGCAGGGCAAGATACTTTTTAACATGTTTAAAAAGTTCAAATAAATTGGAATGCTTCATTTGGCCACATATGCAATGACTATGCACCAAAACAAACAGTGAAATAAGCTGATAGGAACTGTTATCAAAGCATTTTCTAGGAATTGCTTACAGCTCCAGCGAACAGAGAGTACACAAGTGGTTGCATAATCTTTCTGACTATGTTCAGAATACAGTATTAGCACATTACTGTATACTTACTGTAACAGTGTTTGCTAAAAATAATATGATTAAAATAAAATTGTGCATTATACATATGTTTTCTCATGATATCATGTTTTGTTTGGCATATGGGGAGAATGGTTAGACGGGTTTGACCTTATAGAAAGGCAACATTAACTATAAACACTAGTTTCAACCGAGTTATGCAGAAAAGCATCTCTTAAAGCACAATACGTCGAACCTCGAGACAGAAGGGCTAAAGCAGCAGAAGACCACACCGGGTGCCACTCCTATCCACTAAGAACAGGAAACTGAGGCTACAATTCGCACAGGCTCACCAAAATTAGACAATGGAAGATTGGAAAAACATTGCCTGGTCTGATGAGTGTCAATTTCTGCTGCGACATTCGGATGGAAGGGTCAGAATTTGGCATCAACAACACGATGCAAGAATCCATCCTGCCTTGTATCAATGGTTCAGGCTGGTGGTGTAATGGTGTGGGGGGTATTTTCTTGGCACACCTTGGGCCAATTAGTACCAATTAAGCATTGTGTCAACACCACAGCCTACATGAGTATTGTTCCTCACCAGGTATCTATCCCTTTATGACCAGGGTACCCATCTTCTGATGGCTACATTGAGCAGGATAAAGTACCATTTCATAAAGCGCAAATCATCTCAGACTAATTTCTTGAACATGACAATGAGCTCATTGTACTAAAATGGCCTCCAGTCACCAAAACTCAATCCAATTGAGCTCCTTTGGGATGTGGTAGAACGGGAAATTCTGACAAATCTGCAGCAACTGCGTGACGCTATCATGTCAATATGGACTGAAATCTCTAAGTATTATTTACAGTACCTTGTTGAATCTATGCAGGATTAAGGCAGTTCTGAAGGCAAAAGGGGCTTCAACCCTGTACTAGCAAGGTGTACTTAATAAAGGCCAGTGAGTGTAGTACCTAGTGTAATCATTGGTGTATATAATTATTGGGCATTTGTGAAGGCAAAAGGGGTTCAATCCAGTACTAGAAAGATGTACCCAATGAAGTGGCTGGTAACTGTATATATGCATATTTCTGTTTAAATAACGATTATTTGATTGACACAGGTTCTGGTCACCACAGAGGTAATAAATAATCACAAAAAGCGCATTGTTTTTTACAATACTTTGTTGTATAATGTAACAACTGCAGTAGTTGTTTTATGTATAGTATAGTTTTATACTTTATACCACAGAGAGGGTAATATAGTTGTACACAATGTGACAATGTGGAAAGTAACCCCTCTCTCTCTCTCTCTCTCTCTCTCTCTCTCTCTCTCTCTCTCTCTCTCTCTCTCTCTCTCTAAGTTTATCTGTTTGTCTGTCTCCCCCTCCCTCCCCTGTTCATAAAGCAAATAAAAAGTTTATTAGCCTTCAAAATATCTGTCAAAGGACACGGCCCTCTGAGTGGAAAACAAAATACAGTGCAGTCACATGTTTACTGGCTGGACTACTCCCTTCCCCCCCACCATAAATAATCAGACATGCCATCCAGAGCAAACAAAAGCAACAGCGGTGCTGGGGAAAAAAAAAAGTTCTCCAGTTGAGCAAAAAAAAAAAGAAAAAAAAAAGGCACCAATACCAAGAAAAGCAAGCAGCGTGTTCCCATAGAACAGCAGGGGCAGACTCACACCTACACCAGAGAACCATCTGAGTAAATAACCCGCTTCATTCTTTCCACCCTCATCACACCAAAAAAACTCCCACAATTCAACAAACAGTCGCAGGAACATCTACAACCCTTGGGCTTCTCGATGGGTGGAGTTCAGACTCTATTATCTGATATTAGCGGCTTGTTAATAGCAATCTGAAAAATATAAGGTTTCGAGAAAGCATGTAAAACACGTGGGTTTGCACTGAATGTGACTTGTACATCATTTCATGTAAAAAGAGAGGAAAAGGGGGTGGTTTTGAGAGAAAGGATGGGCCTGTATTAGAGAGTCACTGTCTGATGCTGCTCTCTAAGAGCTCAGTAAAGAAGCAGCGTGATGAAAACTGGAGCGCTGGGTTGGAGAAACCAGCTGTGTGTGTGTGTGTGTGTGTGTGTGTGTGTGTGTGTGTGTGTGTGTGTGTGTGTGTGTGTGTGTGTGTGTGTGTGTGTGTGTGTGTGTGTGTGTGTGTGTGTGTGTATGTGTGAGAGTGTGTGCGTGTATGTGTGTGCGTGTGTGTGTGTGACCTTCTCATGCACTGGAGTTGTGGGATGACATCATGAGGCAGGAATATAATAACAGGCTACAGAGGGGCCACTTCAGTGCTGACTGACACTGACCGTCATCATCATGGATCAACACATTACGATGCATTATATTAAACATTTAAAATCATATATTAAGATACAATCACCACACTTAAGAATAAAAGGGTTATAAAATATATAATATATATAATATTTTTCTTTGAATCTTTGAGATGTTGCAAAATTCAGTGTTGTTAATCAGTATTTGTTTAAATTTCCTAGCAAAAGAGGGCCTTAAGATTCAAAGAGACAGTTCACCCAAAATTAAAGTTCGTTTACTCACTCAGGGTCAAAACGATTCTGAGTATAACATTTAAAAGATTTTTAGCTGAAACTGTGGTTCTTTGTGGTTTATAAAACCCAGGCAAATGACACTTTGAGAGGAGAAAAAAATATTCTTGAAGCATTAGGCTAATCGCTCATGTTATAAGAGATGCTAAAAGTGCTATAACCATAAAATCTATTTATGAAATTATTAATAATGACTAGATGACAAAGATGAATAGATGACTCCTCAAATGAGCATTTCACATTAGCATTTACGCCATTAAATGATAGCGAATCAAATGGTAGCGTAAAATTACTACATCCATTAACATAAGGTCTCTTAAGTAAAAAACATAAATACATATATTCAAGAAACCTGAGGATACTTAGAAGTAGACTTCACACAGTATTCTGCCATCTTAAGATTTCATTCGGAAGGAAGAAAACTTATTCATTGTAGTTTGCTAATTAGAGAGTTAACAGGGGATGCTGAACCTTATGTCATCGAACCTCCTGTAAAATGCATGACAATAGAATCATATTGGTGTGATGGTATTGCAAAGTGTTCTGAATGAACAAATTTTGTCAAGTGAAGTGAACTTCCGCATATTCAGTAATCATGGAATTGGGAGCATTGAACACTGTGGGGACCCTGTCAATTGAAACACAGCCATCTTTGCATTGCAAAAAAGCAAAGACAGTTCAAATTGTGTACAACACAGTGGTACAGTAAAATTAATTGAGGATCCAATCAAAAATCAATATTTAATTACTTTTCAATTGTTAAATATTTGTCAAATCTACAGATAAAAGACTGACCAACAGCATTGACTTATGAATGGATACAATGTGACCATGTAACTGGACCATGTAACTGTCAATTAATTGTAGGAACAGCGATAAAGCAACGAAACGCACGCAAACTCCTATCCCCCCAAACACATACTGCATAAAATACCAATGACTCCTCTGCCCTCAAAGTTCTTTGTGATTTAAATTCCAGTAAAATAAAACAACAACAACAAAAAACTGTTCATCACATAAATACATGTATGACATTTACAAGTTGACCTGACTGTTAATAATGGTGGAAGCATATTTGAAAGGGACAGTCCCTAAACTAGTATCTCCGAGCTCCTCTCCTCCCACACTAACCGGCCCTAACATGGCAAAAAAATAAATAAATAGCCTATTTATAGGAACCTAATTAAATATGCATGAGAATATAACACTAAAGTCTTCCAGTGCCATAACTGAACCGAAACTCTTCATTTTGAGTGACTGGCAGACTGTTCAGAGCATGAACTTAAAAGAAGACCTTAGCTACATGTTTATACTTTCCCCACTGAACTGTCTAAAAGCAATAGGTCGGCAAAATACATATTATTATAATAAACTTAATTATTTCTTATTCATAATCACTGCATTCATATTTAAATACAGAAGATACATAAAATGTGAATGTACAACAAATTATATTAAACTGTTTCAGTTTGGGAAGGTCATTTTTGAGAAAGGGAGGGAGAGAAGGACATCAATGTAGCCCCAGAAAGCTTTTTGCAGAAATCTCATTTTGTATGCTATCTTTATCAAATTTGAAATATAAACTCATAATAAATAATACTAATAATAATGAATAAATGAATAGGGCGATGCGGTAGTGCAGTAGGAAATGCTGTTGCCTCACAGCAGGAAGGTTGCTGGTTCGAGCCTCGGCTGGGTCAGTTGGCGTTTCTGTGAGGAGTTTGCATGGTCTTCTCTGCGTTCGTGTAGGTTTCCTCTGGGTGCTCCAGTTTTCCCCCACAGTCCAAAGACATGCAGTACAGGTGAATTGGGTAGGCTAAATTGTACATAATGTATGGGTCTAAAGGAGTGAGTATGGATGTTTCCCAGAAATGGGTTGCAGCTGGAAGGGCATCTGCTGCATAAAACATATGCTGGATAAGTTGACGGTTCAGTCCGCTGTGGCAACCCCAGATTAATAAAGGGACTATGCCAAAAAGAAAATGAATGAATGAATAAATTAAATAAATAAATAAATAATAATAATAATAGTTTTTTTGTAATGCACTTTTTTCGTGCTACAGAACAATAGAAC